GAGTGGGAGAAGTTAGACGACAAGCAGTGGAAGGGTTGAAGAGCATAAACAGCTGTGCTCTACCTGGCAAACTAAAACTCTGGTGCTTTCAGTTTGGTCTACTGCCGAGGTTGCTGTGGCCACTGACCGTGTACGACGTTTCTTTGACAACAGTGGATAAGCTGGAAGCGTTGATAAGTTCATACATCAGGAAATGGTTGGGAGTTCCACGCTGCCTCAGCAGAGTGGGACTTTATAGTAAAGGAATATTGCAGCTGCCAGTCTCTGCTTTAACCGATGAGTTTAAGTGTGCCAAGGTCAGACTGGAAATGACCTTAGTAGAGTCACGCGACAAATGTGTAAGGGAGGCAGCCCCTGTGTTAAAAACTGGTAGAAAGTGGTCAGCAAAGAAATCTGTAGTAGTGTAGTAGGCTCAGTTTAGCTCCTCCTAAATGGCACAAGGCAGGCCCAGCTCAAAGGAGGAAGCTGGTAGTCAACGAGGTGCGAAAGCAGGAGGAGAGGATGAGGTGTATAAAGGCCATTTCCCAGGCCAAGCAGGGAGAGTGGATGAGATTGGAGGGTGTGGAACAACGCAAGATGGGCTGGCAAGACCTTTGGTCAATGGAAGAGAGTAGGATCAGTTTCCTTATTAGGTCAACATATGATGTTCTCCCATCAGCGCAGAACCTAAACCTCTGGGTAGGAGAGGATCCCTCTTGTCCTTTGTGTTCATCACCTGCCACATTAAGGCACATTTTGACAGGATGTATGGTGGCTCTTAGCCAAGGTCGGTTTACTTGGCGCCATGACAAAGTACTGCGATTTTTGGCTTTAGCATTGGAAGGCAAGCGTAGTATGACCAATAAGTTGCCGCCTGTTCTAGGAAAACTTTACACACAGAAGACAATATTCCTCCGCCCAGGCGAGCAACCACCAAGAAAAGGTGTTAACACCAATTCTCGCCCAGGACAACTGGAAGCTGCTAGGGACTGGAAGATGCTGGCTGATCTTGATCAACGGCTTATTTTTCCACCTGAGATTGCCACCACTAACCTACCAGATATTGTTTTGTGGTCTGGATCAGCACGCATTGTTCAACTGATAGAGTTAACAGTGCCATGGGAGGATGCGGTAGATGAGGCATATGAGAGGAAGAAACTGCGGTATGCTCATCTGGCCATTGAAGCAGAACAGCGAGGATGGAGAGTCCAGGTTTATCCAGTGGAAGTGGGTTGTCGAGGTTTTGTGGCACACTCTACAACCCGGTTCCTCAGAGACGTCGGATTCAGTGGCCAAGAGTTGCGTCGCACAGTAAAGAACTTATCTGAAGCAGCAGAAAGTAGCAGCAACTGGCTGTGGTTGAGACGGAAAGATTCTTGCTGGCTGTGTACAGGCCGCCACGCTACGGTTTCGTAGAATTCTTGAAAACTTGAAGAGTCTGTTGGTTTATTTGTATACGTTCCTGTGGATATTGCGTGAATGACGGGTGGTTGGGCAGATATTGTGTTTTGCGGTAGGTGGTATGCCATACGGAACCGTTGCCACTGAAACTGCTTTAACGCACCAGTGGGGCTCGACAGCCTTAGTCAAACGGGTTGGCTCAATCCAGACGGTTGTCGTGCTGGTCCTGTAGTTGCAGCCGTCGCGTGTGCTGACGCGCCAAGTACACTGCAGCCATTAACGCCGGACAGAAGAGGAGTCACACCACTGTACGGAAAGAAGCGTAAATGGATGGAGAAGGATAGTTTACTGTAAAGCTACGTCTTAGTTTTGCTTATCTTGGCGAAAGCCGAGTACAAATCAGCATGAAGTTTTAACATCTACTCTCGTGTAATGGAAATCATGTAAACTGAAGCATATACTGTAATACTACCTGCCAAGTACTGACATTGGAATGTGTTGTGGAGGAAAAAACCTCAACTTAATTTGTATTATATTTTAGTGTTTTCAAAAATTCCCTCATGTCAAAATTCAACGTGAAGGGGGGTGGTCCATTGCAGAAGGGGGAGGGGGGGGGGGGGGGTATGGGGTTTGGGGTTATGGGAATAAAGGCAACAATTAATTGTTGTTTTATAGAATAACAGGTTATTTTATTTTACTTTTTATTTGGTAATTCTTTTATATTTCTATTATCTTAAGTTGTTGTTTTCCATATTTTTTATCTTTATATTGTATTTGTAATATTTTATTTGCTCATTTTTATGTTTGGATCTTTTTGTAAGTTGTCTAAGTTGTTAATGTTATTTTTCTAAATAAAACCTTTATATTTAGTTTGTTTGGATGAATTGTCATTTATGAGAATCTGTTATATTTGAGGTAAAAGAATCCTTTAGCCTCATTTTGTTGTCTATTACATGTGGTTCTTCAATAGCCGTCTAATTGATGACTAGTCTATTCTTGGGCTGTGGTTAGACGTCTATTAGATTTTCACTGACAGCCCAAAATTAGCTATGTTATAGCCTAGACGTCTGGGCTGTGTTTTGACGGCTATTAGACGTAAAATGGCTTGCTGGGTATTTGAATAAAAAAATAAAAAATCTTTCAAAAGTTTAGTTTGAATGAAAATACAGTTACCCCAAATAAAAAATAATTCACCTTAAGAAAGTTGAAATCATGACAACAAAGATTTGCATTCAGAATTACAACTTGTATTAATTTAACAACAATTGAAATAAACAATTACAATAAACAAGTGTGTGGGTGTGTTATCAGTGTACGTGCATGACTTAATAAGTCATCAAGGATCACCAGTTCTGTCCACTCAAATTCACGTTGCTGATGTCACGACTGCCTGGCTCACAGTAGCAATGACATAGGGGAGACCACACCGTTTGTTCAGTTAAATCAAAAACAGTTTATTTAAACATTAAATTATACGATGAAATCATCATTTAAATCAATAAATATATAAAGTCAGTAAATGAGAAACAAAAGAAAACTAATCCAAAGTGTAGTGCAAATCAGTTAAATGTAGACTATGTGTAAAGCAAACAAACAAAGAGGAGTAGGATGGTGCTGCCGCCAGAGCTATGCCGAGACGCACAGCCTAGAGCAGATCAAACAACTGGCAGGAGAGGTTTTTAAACAGTCCCGCCCATCAGCTGCTGTCAGATGGAACGAAAACAAACAGCTCCCCCTTCAGACTGGGGGGAAAGAAACGGCCCAAACATTATTCTATAATTGGTGGAGTGAGCACACCCAGCACGGCAAAGCCGGGTGTGACATTGAGCTCAGATCAGTTTCAAGGAAATTTTTCTGGCAGATGAAATCCATGGGTTGTAAGTTTATGTACAATCCTACCACATTGCTGGACGGCAAGGATCACACTGCACAAATGAAGATCACCTCAAGATCACCAAAATCAAGCTGGGTGGCTCGCCATCTTCCATCCGGAAGAGAGAATTCAAGGAAACCCAAAAACCTGGCCTACATAGAAACAGGCACATAAATTTCACTCAAATAGTCTATCAGGAACATTAACCAAATGCACAAATTTAGATTTACAATAAACAGTTCCTGAATCCACATAACAATAAGTGAACATGAACACATACATTAATCACATATTAATCAACACAATTGACTCATTAATAAGTCAAAATGGGTCAATATAATACCTTCCAGATAATTGTGAACAAAAAATTACAAAACAGGTTGTTTTTTTAGAACACATCAGCAGTTAATCGCAATATTAACGTGCATTTTTGTAATATAGCAATTAGCATCTTGCCATTGCACAAGTGTAACAAAAAAATGCATTATTCCTCCGTAATCACACACAGTTCAGTGAAATCACTAGTATACCACTTAAGTATAGTACAAAACTAAAATTGAAACATTAAACAAACATAAAACATGAATCAAGTCTCCACATATGATTCATGATTCATAAATGAGCACTCACCGAGATTCAATGAATGTTCTTTCGTTCCCAAAATCAACAGGAAATGAAAATAAAAAAAATCTTCTGCACCTCTTTCCTATGCATATGCTCTTTTTTTCAACTCATACCCACTTTTCAACCTACAAAACAATTTCGCTGAGTTTATGCAGCTTATTTTCTTAGCGCTCTGGGGGCTGTTCCATAAAAGCCGCTTAGAAAAGCGGGGATTAAAGTCCAAAACCTGACTTGAATGAGCCGAGCTAAACATCCGCGCTTAAATTGGTTCCATAACAGTAAGTTGAGGATCATGTGATCTTACTAATTTGAGTCAGGTTTAAATAGTCTAGATCATATGTGTCAAACTCAAGGCCTGCGGGCCACAACCGGCCCGCAAATTAATTATCTTTGGCCCGCATGACAAAATGTATTTATTTTTAGAGCTGGCCCGCCGGCATATCGGTTCGAATTACGTGGGAGCTGAGCACATAGAGAGAGGATGAATCATTTATTTTGAATAAAAAAGGAAAAATTACATAAGCAGATCGTCATTCATTCAGCGCACTGATCTATATATTCAGCGCTGTGTGGTTGCGCTGTGTCACGTGGCAAGCAATGACGCGTCACCATGGAAACATTACCGCGAAAGCGTACCACAATAATCAACTAACTCTCTCCCAAAAAAATGGCTAAACGAAAGGTGGACTTTGAAAACAGGGGTTTTCAGGACAGGTGGGAGTCACAGTGTTCGCGGATGTAAAGGGAAAAGCTGTGTGTCTCCTGTGCGGAGACGGCGTGTCTGTAATGAAAGAATACAACATAAGAAGACACTATGAAATGAAGCACCACGACAAATACAAGCATCTGGACACATTTGATTTTCCTTTGAAGTAAATAACTTTTGTAAATAACCATAAGAAATTAGTGAAACTGATTTTATTTATTAATTTTATTAATTTGATTTCCTAATTAATGTTGTTTTATAGGCAATAATATATAGGCTTTGTTGGTTTCAGGTTCATAAAAATAATACGTTGTTTCAATAAGTTTTCAATAAACGTTTAACCTGTCCGGCCCTTGACTTATTGCAATTTTTTTATCTTGGCCCACTGTGTATTTCAGTTTGACACCCCTGGTCTAGATAATTGCGCGTGCACGCCATTGTTTAAAAGTCCTGAAAAGTCGAGCATGGGTCAATCGATTTACTGTGGGCTACCATGGCAACAAAAGGAAAAGATAGAGCAGCGATGTTCACGGCAACGGAACAGCGTTTGCTATTGGAAACATATGAAGAATTTAAAGATGTCATCACCAAAAAAGGCAATACAGTGGCAATAAATAAAGCAAGAGAGAAAGGTTGGCTGGAAATTGCTGATCGTCTCAATGCGTAAGTAGCGGTGTAAACTATTTAAAATACTTTATCAACATTGAATGTGTGTCACAATACATTGCAAAGTTTGTGTGTGAATAACAGTAATGTTAATTGCTTTCACGCAGCAGCAACTTAAGTGAAGGAAAAAGAACCTGGCAGCAGGTGAAAATAAAATATAAAAATATAGTTCAGAATGGTAAGTAAATCTAATGGTATGTACATATGTAATCAATGCCAGCTTGAAGTTACAACTATTCAGGGTTTTTTTTTATTTTTTTTTATTTAATTGCAGCGACCAAAAAGAAGACTGAGGTTGCTGGCACTGGGGGAGGGCCACCACCAGCCAGCTTCACTCCTGCAGAGGAGCTGGCTTTGGAAATTAATAAAGGGAGGCCTGTCCTTGAGGGAATAGAGGGGGGGACATCATCTAAAATGATATCACGTAGTATAAGGAGTGAGTATATAAAAGGTGTGTGTGTGTTTTATTGTCATTATTCCTTCCTGACTAACTGATTTCCTCCTTCCTTGGGTATTGTAAGGCTAAGTACATCATAGCAGTAATGTCACGTAGAGGTACTTGTGCTACTGAAATGGTGCATTTTGGTAAAAAAAAAAAAAAAAAAACAAATCTATCAAGATTCTGTATGCTTTATGGATCCACCAGACATCATGTTGCCTGTGAGTATGAGACCTTTTAAATCAGTCATGTAAGCTAATGAGTTTAACTGAGTTTAATCAGTGGTCACAGGGAGAAGGCCCATCAGTTGAGGAGGATGAGGAGACTGTGTCTGAATGTTCAAGGAGGCCTGAGGTACTCACAGGTTCCATGCTATACTGTATTGAATATTAAAAAGTGTACTTGTGTGATAAAATGATCATAATGTGTTTTCAGGATGCTGACACTGTTCTAGAGCGTCCTCAGTCTGGGACCACATGTGACAAAGTGAGTATTAAGAAATGAAAACAATGTGACAAGAGTATTCAATGAAATAACTTAAATCTATGTTGCTACAGAACCCAGAAAACATAAAAGGAGTGTATAAATGCTACCTCCTTAAACAAATGGAAGCGATTGATATCGACATCCAGTATAAAAAACTGAAGATGAGGAAGTTGGAGCTGAAAATTCAACAGCTACAGAAAAATGCAAGTAGAACTACCATTTTTAAAAAAGGAAAAGAAAAAAAAAACATTACCTTTTTGATCACTTTCCACAACATTTATTTGTGTGTTTTCACCCCTAACAGGCAGATTCACTCTGAATAAAGACAAATCACATTAAATACTTTGACTTCTGTGTGTTTGTTCAACTAAAGAGAAAGTTGAGGGGCCAGTGGAAAATTGTAAAGGCTACACATGGTTTAGACCATATTAACCCTCTGGGGACCAAGGGGTTTTTGGGGCCCTTGGGATGTTTTGACATGCACTGACATTTGTGCTTTTTTCAGTTATTTATAAACATGTTAATGGCAAAGGTGTAAATTCACTCTATATAGCACAAACGGGGCTACCATAATATGTGAGCAACATGTATGTACATGTTTGTATTTTTGAGAGAATATTATTTATGCATGGTTATTGAAAAACTAAAAGTTTCTGAAATAAGGCCACAAAACACATATTGATTATTTCTTCACAAGACTTTTGAAAATTGTATCACATAGTCTAGAATATTTGCTCCAAAACTATGTGAGAATCATCCTGACTACTCATTCAGATAAGTCAATAAAGTATTTTAGAATGTGTATGACGTGTTTTGTTTGAGAAAGCTTTATGCGAGGAGGCGTGATCTCTCATTAATATGTATGGCATTCCACACCTGAGAAAGACAAAGACCCTCCCATAATGGCCCTATTAGGTGCTATCAGGCCATATCATTACGAGGAGCCTTGCACAAAGAATGAGGAGATTTAAAAAATAATGGCTTTTAGATTGTTTGGATTTATTTACAACACAACATAATCCAAAGATACACAACAAAGGACAAAAAAGCACATTAGTAAACACACTGATCTAAAGACAGAGGCTTGCACAGTCACACAGCATTGTCCCATTCCTGAAACATAGTACATACCTGTCATTTCCAAGGTGTTTGATTTTTCATTACAGTCTCCTGTGAATGTTGAACTCAGCAGGACTTATCAGTGGCATTTTGTCCCTGTAAAAAAATAAATAAACACCTGTGAACATGCTGATATCAAGAGAAACTATATGGCTGCACGACTTTGGGCATGCATTGTAGATTTTTCTGGTTAAAATTGCTTTTTAATTATATATATATATATATATACACACACACACACACACACACACACACACTGCTTAGAATTAGAAGTGAACACACCCATGCTAAAGTTGATTAAAAAGAGGAATAAAAAATCTTAATGCCTTAATTAAAAAAATGAGGAAAACTCCAACCTTTAGGGACATGAATAATGTCCCTGAATTCTTTGTGAATGAATAATGTATCGCAAATAATTAAATGTTCTTCTTTAAAATACAGGGTGCATACGTCTGGACACTTCTATCCCCAGAAACTCCTAACAAAAGCTGATGTCTTTATTTTGAAGCTTATTGGAAGCTTATTTGATGCTTATTTGATTTGAAAAACTTTATCCAAAACTAGTCAACGAAATTTTGTCTTTTATTTCGTCTGTAACAGTGCGTATCTGTGCGTTCATTCATACACACACACACACACACACAGAGAGAGAAACATGATTCACATTTAAACAGTATGCTATTTGTCCGTTTACAGACACTAACGTTATTCTATATCGCGATTAGAACAAAGCACAACCATAAAACACTTACACTTCTCAGCTGAATCTGTTGCTCCTCCTCGAAGTGAAAATAAACCAGCCCTTCTGTGGTAAATGTCCCAGGATTATTCCTCATAGCCGTGCAAGACGAATCTTAATCTGACTAAAATATAGTGTGTTTATAGAGTTTACAGCATTTGCCTGGGGGCGTTTATCTATAGCATATGGCCTCAACACATTATCTTATGAATAGCGCGCTCTGCGAGTGGGTGTAAACAAATTAACGATAATGAGCTGAGACAGGAGAAACTGTACTTCTCTTTAGTTTCAGACAGATTACATTGCAGGAGAATATTTGTTTTAAATGTGAATTGTTTTATTTAAAAGTAGAAATTTAAAGCGTTCTTTAGACGTATGTTTCATGTTTGTGTGATAAGTATTAGCGGAGTTTCCGTTCATTTTCCAGACATGTTTCAGAAAGATTTTTGCGGAGACAGAGTGAGCTGAAAGCGCACCCTGTTTATTTTATTTATTTAAAAAAAAAAACAAGGTTTTGATGTTAATGTGAGTGTACACAAAAAAAGAAGACCCTCTATAGTTTATAATCATGTATTGATTTTATTTATATGACCATAAATGACAGAGTATTTTAAGTCTATGTTGCTGCTATGTGAAAAAAAAAACAGCAAAACGCGCCGGCGCGTTCTTGGTTCCCAGAGGGTTAATAATGGCAACTGTGGCTTTGTTATCGCAGAACATCATTATCCGTTTACGTGACCACTCGGGGCCCCAGATGACGCTGGCAACGGCTAAAGGATATATCTCGTAGAGCGCGGATGAGACGGAATCGGACGCTGTTTTAGGAAAGTCAATAGGCCATTTTTTCTGCGAACCATTGCCCTTGGAAGAACCCCCCGAAGCCGATAGAAGCGGCCGCGTCGGTGAATAATTGAAGTTTAAAGGAACACTCCACTCATTTGCATTAAGCTTTCCATTGTTAGAAACCCAGTCATACTATTGAATGGTCGTGAAACACTCTCTCATTTTCCCCTGAGACAAGAGAAATCCGCTATTTACCTTTTTCACTTCCTCCTACAATGACGCAAAAATTGTCATTTTACGTCATTGTAGGAGGAAGTGGAAGAGGGGGGGATTTCTGTAAAGACTACAAGCACTAGTTCAAACCCGCCCATAGGGGGTTGGACCTAATGCGCTAACAGAGCTATCACAGATCAGTGGGTGGGACTTCACTTGTAGATACTGAAATCAATATCAGCCATCTTGTTTATAAGCTAAGCTAACAAGCGCTGTGGAGATAGGAAGTTACGACAATGACGGAAGAAACTAAACATGATATGGAAGTAGAGGATTTTGAAATTCTGCTGCTCGAATCCGCTGTTCGTGGCTATCTTTACGAGCCGCAGTATAGTGAAGAGCAGCTGAGGCTGAAGGAGGAACAGGAGGCGGACGAGGAGCCCGGGCTGGGCGGACTGCTGGTGCCTGTGCTCTCGCTGTGCGCTATGGACACAGATAGAGTCCGTCTGCTGCAGAGAATTTCAACGATAGCAATTTCTCCTGGACGAAATCTCTGAATCAGACGAGCACACGGACGTTTGTGCTGTGATGTGAACCATCCTAGTGTCGCACCGCATATGTTCTGACTGAACATCCAGGTATCATGCAATAATTCACCATATAGAAAGAAATACAAACGAGGAGTAATTCACTAATGAGTTTGCCAATGTAACGGGGTTCGTTGTCGTGGGAAGGAGGAGGCTGGAACCGGCGAACATTTAAATGTTTTAATAGTAAAATAAACAAATACAAAACAAAAGTATAAGCCAGCTGGCCACACACAACAGAAACAAAACATAAAATCAGGCCTGTTCCTTTTGTGCTTCCGCTCCTCCGTGAGAGATATGAGACCGCTGCGTCTCACAGGTGTCATTCATTATCACTCGCGCCGTCCTCTCACGTCCCTCGTCCTGTCCGCCACAGCCAACTAACTAGACATTTTGTGTGAAATGAATTTCAAACTCTTTTGGCAGCAAGTCTTGTAGACGGAACGGAAGAGTGATTTCTCTGTTTGCGCTGTTCTGGATTAGTGGGAGTGGCTTGCGGAGCTGTGCAATGTGGTGCATTGTGGGAGTTGTTGTCTTACATACAAATGCGCCCTAAAGTTATTTTCTGTCTTTTCTCGGTCAAGAGGGCACCAAATTCAAAATTTCTTTTACATTTCGACTACATATATAACCCACTTTCAATAAAGATTAATGTTGAAATGGGTGGAGTGACCCTTTAAGCGATGATTTTAAAATCATCGTTGTAAAAGAAAGAAATACCGTTCCAATCGTTAAGCAATTTTTTCCAAAATATAATGTCGGACAAACAGCCTTGGATCAGATCGCTTAGCTTTTCCACGGAATGCTTATTAAATGAGAAGGGTATTCCTGCACAACCGGAGGCTGCAGTTTCAGGACCCCTGGTTCTAGGACCCTAGTTTTTTGTGTCAGCACCACCTACTGAAATGGATCACCAAAAACATTAACTTAAGATGGATGACATGGACACCAATCAGACTGTGAGTACCGATATTCATTTAAGTTTTATTTTATAACATTTAATTAAACGACGCAAAGTTTACATAGCCAATGTGAGAGCTGCTAACTATGAATTAATAACTAATTCCAACGAATTTAGAATTTGTGTTCTAGTTTTATTAATTACTACGACGTTCTTAACTCGTGGCCATGATTTAATAAATCCTTGTTGAGTTTTATAATAAGTAAATCTAGCCAGCACATTAATTAAACTTAAAAAGATGACAAAAGCATGTTGATGTGAGCTGTGTAAGATTTACCTGTAGCTTACTGTATTAGTGTGAAAACTTGCTTACTCATTGTTTTACCATATTAGTTAAGTATAAAATACCTTTCATAATTAAACTGCCTGGTTGCACTATGTAACGGGGTTCAGTTGTTATGGGAAGAAGGAGGCGGGAACCGGCGAACGTTCAACAAGTTTAATAATAAATAAACAAATA